CATATTCACATATTCCAGGAGTCAGAGGGCCTTTCTGGAGTGTGAGTTCATTGATGTCTTCCCAAGGAACCCAATTAATTGTAATCTTTTATCACATTTACCACTGATACTCAAGCTGGGGAACTGCTAAACAACATTCATATTTTCTTGTTGCCCCAAGAGTGAGGGGAGCCACATTGCTTCTTTCCATATTCTATGCTCACATAGCTTGTATTTAAAGTGATATGTGATATTCATTATTTCATGTTTTTTTTTGAGAGAGGATTCTCTGTGTAGCTATGGATTCTGTCCTAGAATGCACTCTGTAGACCAGGCTGGCCTCCAACTCACAAAAATACAGCCACTTATTCCTCCTTTGTGGTTGAATTATAGGTATGCACTACCACAGCCCTGTTGGACAATATACTCTTACTAAAGGAATGATAACAAGTAAATTGTTTTCACAATTCATTCCCACAATCTGGCTTTCTTTTCCTCAGAGAAGGTCATATAGGGATTATGATTCCTCCAAAACAACCTTCTTGACTCTCATATTCTGACCCTTTCAATATACTTAGCAAACTCACAAATATATTAGTAATGACTGCTTCACTGTAGAATCTTTTTTCGTTAAAAGTTCTTGGACACAAACATATCATCTATTCAATATATATACTGTTTTAAAATATCTGAGAGGTATGAAACTAAAAGGATTGGCATTTCTACAGCACAGATCTCAATGGGGTGTAATACAAATTTGCATGAGCTTCACATGAAAACTACCTTCTATTTATTCTAGAACTCTCACAATGGTCTTCAATATTATGGTCTTCTGACTTGGAGCCTAAAATGCAACACCAGAAAATACATGAAATGTCAAAGGAAATTGAATCAAATTTAAGTTAATATAGTCAATGAACACTAGAACTATGCATTATTCATCTGTTTCCCTTTTCTCAATCAAAATTACAGAAGAGTATCAACAACAATGAAACAGACTTCCCCTTATTTTAAATCATGAAGGAAAATTCAGTCTCACCTATGGCAGAGAGGTTCCTGTAGGTCTCCAGCATCACATGTTTGTAGAGACTTTTCTGGGAAGGATTCAGCAAAGCCCACTCTTCCTGAGTGAAGCTGATGTGCACATCATCATAGGTTACTGCATCCTAAAACAAACCACACATGTTTAACACAGGAAGTGTGATACATACATACACATATACATACATACATACATACATATATACATATGTTGTTTTCCCACCCATCAGTCTGGGTTTCATGAGCTCCCACTTGTTCAGGTCAGCTGTATCTGTGGGTTTCTCCAACCCGGCCTTGACCCCTTTGCTCATCACTCCTCCCTCTCTGCAACTGGGTTACAGGAGTTCAGTTCAGTGTTTAGCTGTGGGTGTCTGCCTCTGCTACCATTGGCTACTGGAGGAAGGCTCTAGGATGGCATATAAGGTAGTCATCAATCTCATTAGAGTGGAAGGGCATTTAAGGAGGCCTCTCCACTAATTCTTAGATTGTTAGTTGTGTTCATCCTTGTGAATCTCTGGACATTTCCCTAGGGCAAGATTTCTCTTTAAACCTGTAGAGATTCCCTCTATTATGGTATCTCTTTTCTTGCTCTCCTCTATTCCTCTGCTTTCTCAGTCTTCCTTATGCCTCATGTCTTCCTCCCCAGTCCTTTGCATCTGTTGACTGAAGTCTTCCTTGCCAGCTGATTTGATTTTTCCCCTACCAGCCACTTGGGCTCTGCCCCAGATGCAGCTCCCAAATAACACACATGACGCTATAATCATTATTAAGCTGTTGGCTCTTTGCTTGTTTCTTACTAGCTAGCTCTGACTTAAGTATCTAACACATAATGGTTAATCTAAGTATTTCTCCTACCAGAGAAAAGGGTCTGGACATCTTACTTCTCTGGTTGACTACATTGTCTCTCCATGTCTCTCTTTCCCAGAATCCTCCTCGACTCCTAGTCACACCTATCTTGCTTCCCTATTGGCCAACAGTGCTTTATTCAAACCAAACAGACACATTTTTACAGAATGACATCTCCCAGCATGCACCATCCTCTTCTCGTTCCTCACTCTCCCCTCCCCCATGTACCCTAATTTCTTCAGGAGCTCTTGTCCCTTTCTCCTTCTCTGGGATCAATATCGGTCTTTTAAAGTGCTGAGCCAGAACTACTGTGACTCCAGCTGAGGGCCCCACTTTGGCACCCTGAGGATGGGGTTTGGAATGGTGCTAGCAAGCATCCTTGTTTTTACACAAGCCTCTCTCCACCTGCACCATCCTGTAATGGCAGAAGCTTCACCCAACCTGCCTTCTCCCCCTCAAAGAACAGATGCCTAAGGTCTACGGGATGGCACCCATACCACTTTCTGATTTTGAGCCCACTGACACCTTACTCCCTACCTCCCCATATCATCCCTTGTCAGCAGGAAGAACGCAAACTTAAACCTATGCCCCTACACCTAGCGAGTCTTGGTTGTTTAGGTGGGAGCCCTACAGGTAACTGTATTTATACAAAGAGGTTGGAATATTTGGAACCCCTGTCCCAAATCCTGCCCTCAAGTTGCCACAGATGGGCCCTTAACAGAAGTCACCACCCCCAACCCTTAAAACTTCCATTATTGCCAATTTCACACCTTGGGGTAGTAGCAAAAGCCTCCACCTCAGGATTCACCTCATGGTTTCTAGTTTTCTGTTCCCCTGGGTCCAAACAGGAATTCTTTGCTCAGATTACACCACTGTGCTGTGTCTCCTCTGCTCACCTGGCCCTGTCACTCAGGCCTCAGCAGGCAATCACAGCCTCTAGTGGACCCACCAATCAGACACAAGGGTTCTTCTGGAGCCAGGCTTTCTGCTTCGCCTCTTCTGAGGATGTCAGAAGGTTTTTTTTGTTTTTTGTTTTTTTCTTTTTTTGGTTTTATGAGACAGGGTTTCTCTGTATTGTTTCAGAGGCTATTGTTCCAGCCGGGCCTCGAACTCACAGAGATCCGCCTGTCTCTGCCACCCGACTGCTGGGATTAAAGGCGTGTGCCACCTCCGCCCGGCTCAGAAGTTTCTTGAGTTGTGCCTTTGTTCTCCCTACCTGACTGCAAGGTAAGTGTGCAGTGGGCTTTCTCTCACTTGCTCTTTCTCTCTCTTTGGTTGGGGATCTCATCAGAAGTTTAGAGACTGCATCTTCAGGAGCAGGACCTCTGCACCAACTATTGAAATTTGTGTAAATTATTGCCCAAATAAACACCAACTTATCATTTATCTTGGGTCTCACGAACTCAGTAACAACCTGAGTTCACACAAAACAATTTTTATTGCAACAAGTATGAAGTCATTACAAAATTGTTTACATGAATTGGGTTTTCTCTTCCATGAGTACTTCCCTGTTACCTGATATCAAGATGATACAAAAAGGATTTAAAATATGTACAGGGTTAGAGATATGGATGTGCAAAATTATAACAAGTTCATTGCCAGGACCTAGGTCAGGTTTTTTGAGAACTTTCTGTAGTTCCTGCTACAGGAATACTCAAGTGTCTAACGTTCATGGGAACAAGCATGAGTATTCACAAACTGAACACTGACATTACATAATTAAAATCAGATCAAATCTCTAAGCAAACAGATGTCCACACATGAATATTTTCTCTTGCAGGCACTCATTCCTGTAACACAGCTGTTGAGACAGTTAAAGTCCTAACAGTTTTCCTTCATCATGATTTGGTCCATGAAATAGAACTAAGCATGTAAGATTGAATTTAGAGCAATAGACTGATCACAATGAGGTTTTTATGTAATTAAAGAAAATTGTGAAATATAAAGGGTTACCTTATCAGTGAATTCATAGGACTTTTGTACACATGAGTTGACAGGTGCAAACACAATAGAGACATCACAGTGCTTGAGCAGATTGTTGACCTTTGTTAGATTTTTTCCCTCCAGAAGCTTGTATAACCAAATGTGTGTTCAGTGAAGATTTTAACAAATCCTTTATGCCAATATTTCCTTCCATATTAAAATTTTTCAGGACCTCACAGAATATTGAGTTATGCAGAGTACACAGCTTTACCACACTGCTTGCAATTATAGGATTTCTCTGAAGTATGATTTCTTCCAAAGGTTTTACCACATTGGTTTCATTCATAAGGTCAGGTCTCAGGCATGTGTTCTTTTGTGATATTGAAGACTCCTGATGTGTGAATAGTCTTTACTACATTGATTACATTCATAGGGTTTCTCTCCAGTGTGTGTTCTTTTATGATACTTGAGACCACTGGTGTGTGAAAAGGCTTTACCACATTGACTGCATTCATATGGTTTCTGTCCAGTATGTGTTCTTTTATGATTTGCAAGAGTGGTGTGTTGTGCAAAAGCTTTACCACACTGATTACATCCATAGGGTCTCTCTCCTGTATGTGTTCTTTCATGTGCTTTCAAACCACTATCATATGAAAAGGTTTTACCACACTGATTACATGCATAGGGTTTCTCTCCCATATGAGTTCTTTTATGTATTTGGGGTTTACAGTGTTGTAAAAATGCTTTCCCACATTGATTACATTGATAGGGTTTCTCTCCAGTGTGTGTTCTTTTATGTCTTCTAATCTCACTATGACTTGCATAGGCTTTACCACAGTGATTACATTCATAGGGTTTCTCTCCAGTGTGTGTTCTTTGATGTACTTGGAGAGGACTGAGCTGTGAATAAGTTTTACCACATGGATTGCAGTTGTAGGGTCTCTCTCCAGTGTGTGTTCTTTGATGTACTTGAAGATCACTCTGGCTTGCAAAAGCTTTACCACATTGAGCACATTCATAGGGTTTCTCTCCTGTGTGCAATCTTTTATGTCTTTGAAGATTATCTTTCCTTGCAAATGCCTTACAACATTGATCACATTCAAAAGGTCTCCCTCCAGTATGTTTTCTTATATATGTTTCAAGCACACCAGGACTTGCAAAGGCTTTAGAACATTGATTACATTCATAAGGTTTCTCTCCAGTGTGTGTTCTTATATGACTTTTAAACTCACCATGACTTGCAAAGTTTTTACCACATTGATTACATTCATGGGTTTTCCCTCCAGTATGTGTTCTTTTATGGAGTTGTAGACAACTGTGACCTGCAAAGACTTCACCATACTGGAAACTTTCATATGGTTTCTCTCCAGTATGAATTTTTTCATGCCTTTGAAGATGCCTGTAACACACAAAGGTTTTAATACATTGAGTGTATTTATAGGGTTTCTCTCCTTTATGGCTTTGTTCATTCCCACAAAGATAATAGGCACATGTAAAAGCTTTACCACATGCATGATACTGATGAAACTTCATATCTGTATGAATTAATTTTATAATTTTGCCTAATTGTAAGTAGGAATCAGATCTTAACTTTTACATTCATTATGCTTCCCTTCATGAGGGGTTGTTTGTGGCTTAGAAGATGACTTTCTTTTTAGATAGAGCCTTTATTTCACAGCCCAAATTTATGGCATTTTATTTATATGAGATTTTTCCTTGTTTTGAAAAGAAATTGAGGAACTCAGAGCCCTGCCCTACTAATGGCCTTCATAACTTTTCCTATAGTGTGAATCATGCTACATTGGAAGAATATACCAGGACAAATGGAAGTATTCATACAATCCAAAATTCATAGGGCTTTTCTGCAGTGTGAATTTGTTGATGGCTTTGCAATGAAGTTGGAAAATGAATCAATTGTAAACTTGTATCACATTTGACAAATCTACTCTAATTGGAGCTTACCAAACATCTTTCATATCCCGTAATTGTCCCGAGTGTGTGTGTGTGTGTGTGTGTGTGTGTGTGTGTGTGTGTGTAAGAGAGAGGGGGGATTCCATTGCTTCTTTCCTTATTCTATGCTCACATGGTTTGTATTTATAATCACATATGATATTGATTTTTTTCTTAGTTTTTGAGACAGGTTATTTCTGTGTAGCTTTGGAGCCCATACTCAAACTCAATTTATAGGCCTTGCTATCCTTCACCTCACAGAGTGCTGAGATTAAAGGTGTGCTCCACCACCACTGACTGGATGTGATATGACCTCACAGAGTGCTGAGATTAAAGGTGTGCTCCACCACCACTGACTGGATGTCATATGACCTCACAGAGTGCTGAGATTAAAGGTGTGCTCCACCACCACTGACTGGATGCTCATTAAAGGACAAATAACCAGTAAAAGTTTTCCCCATTGCATTCACACAGTTTGAATTTGTTTCCTCTCAGAAACATGGTATAGGGATTAAGGTTTCTCTACAACAACCTTCCTGACTATAAACTTACCCTTTCAATATGCTTAGCAATGTCACATATATATGACTAAGGTGAACTTTACTATAGACTCATTTTTTCTCAGGTCTTGGACAAATATCTATCATGTATTCAATGTGCATACCATTTAAAATATCTGAGTGGTATTAATCTAAACAGATTGGCATTTCTACGGTGTAGCTCTCATAAGACTCTAATTCATATGGTGGTATCAGTTAATGCATTGTTTCCTTGCCGTCGTTTTCACAGGGTTGCCTTTCAAACACAGAATAGTGACCTGACATTGAGGTAGATGGTTTTGTGAGAAATGAGGAATCATTAATATACTTTAAGCTGTGCTTATTAATACTGTTGCTTTTCTTTAAAATTTCTAGGATACATTATTATTTCTTCAGAGGCAAATTTGTATAAAAAGTTGTACGTGAAAATTACCTTCTATGTCTTGTAGAATTTTGACAGTGTTCATCAGTATTATGATCTTCCCACCTGTATCCTAAAATACAACACCACAAAATATATGAAATATGAATGGAAGTTAAATCACATTTAAGTTAATACCTTCAATGAATATTAGGACTATGTCTTTTTCACCTAATATTCCTTTTTCTCAATCAAAATTACAGAAGAGTACCAATAACCAAGAAGCAGTTGTTCCCTTATTTTAAATCATGAATGAAAATTCAGTCTCACCTATGGCAGAGAAGTTCAAGTACATCTCCAGCATCACATCCTTGAAGAGACTTTTCTGGGAAGGATTCAGCAAAGCCCACTCTTCCTGAGTGAAGCTGATGTGCACATCATCATAGGTTACTGCATCCTAAAACACCCCACACATATGTAGAACAGAAAGTGTGATACTCCCATTTGATATAAATATGTATATCATTGACAGTATAGTCAAATAATTCTGGTGCTTGCCTCACTTATTCCATGACATGAACATTAAAATGTATTCACCCTTCACTTTAGAAGGAAAATGAGTAGTAGGCTCACATACACCATTTCTTGGTACTTTAAATAGTATATAGCTTTGAGGAAGAAATCCCAATGAACAGACATAAAGGGAGAGGCAAGGCAGCACATCAACACTACTGAGAGCACATCAGAGAAATTGTATGACAGTGCCAGGATCTCACAGCAATACCCCAGTCCATGGCATCAACTTCTGTCTATGTTATGCTTTTATTGCTGTGAAGACACAATGAGCCATGTCAATACTTACAAAGAAAATATTTTACTGAGGTATGTTCCTTAAAATTTAAGAAGTTTAGATAATCACCCTCATTGCAGGGGCATGGCAACATGCAGGCAGATGTGGTGCTGAAGGTTAGAGTCCTCACATCTTGACTCAGAGGCAACAGGAAAGTGACTGACACTGGGAATCATCCAGAATATAAAAAACATTGGCTGGCCCCACAGTGATATGCTTCCTCTAACAAGGAAAATCCCAGTCCAACACAGTCACACCTCCTAGTCCTATCACTAGTGGGAGCTCAGAGACTATGGAAAGACAGCTGGGGAACCTGCATGGGACCAAACCTGTGAGTGTGGGTGACAGTAATGGGACATGATCTGTTAGGGATCCCCTGTCAATGAAACCAGGACCCATCCCAGGTGCATGAACTGGCTTTTTCAAGCCCACACCCTATTATGGGTTGACTTGCACAGGATGAAACAGGATGGAGTAGTTTGGTCCTTCCTGAACTCTGTATGCCAGACTTGTTGACTCCTTACCCCCTCTGATATGTGGATGTGGAATGGGTTAGGGTGAGAGGTAGGGGGCAGTAGATGGGAAGGGAGGACAACTGGGGTATGAATGTAAGATGAAAACACTTAATTGGGGTGGCTCACTTACAGATATGGAGGTTCAGTCCATTGTCACCATAGTGGGGAGCATGATATGAAGGAGGATGTGGTGTTGGTTACATCTTGATATATGGGCAACAGGAATTTGTCTGGTATGATTGGCCATACCCAGAGCATAGGAAACCTCAAAGTCCAACACCAGTGATGACGCGCTTCTTTCAGAAATGCCAAACTCACTGCAGTAACACCATACCTTCTCTCTCTCTCTCTCTCTCTCTCTCTCTCTCTCTCTCTCTCTCTCTCTCTCTCTCTCTCTCTCTCTCTCAGATTCTGACAGTCTCAGAAGGGCACAGATTGCATATTCTGGAGCAGGGATGCCTCAATGCCTCTTTTATTTTATTATCTGTGTAAGTTGTTCCCCAGTAAAACACCCATTAATTATTTATCTTGGGTCCAGTGAACTCATTGACATCCATCTTCACATGAAAAAACATTTTATTGAAAATGAACACAAGTATAAAGTCTAAAGTCTCTACCAAACAGTTTACATGAATAGGGATTTCTCTTCCATGATTTCTTCCCCATTAACTGATATCAAGATGATACAAAAAGGATTTAAAATATGAACAGTATTAGAGATATGGATGAGCAAAATTATAACATGTTCATTACCAGGAGCTACATCAGGTTTTTCAGAACTTTCTGTAGTTTCTGCTACTGAAAAACACCAGGGATTACCCTTCTTGGGAACATACATCACCTGTCACAATCCCAAACACTGACATCACATAATTGAATTCAATCAATTCTCTAACCAAACAGATTTTCACAGGTGAAGATTTTCTCTCGTACTCACTCATTCCTGTATCCCAGTGGTTGAGGCATTTAAAGTCTTAACAGTTTCCCTTCATCATGCATTGGTTCATGTAACAGAAAGCAAGCACTTAGGAATGAATTTAGAGAAATCAACTGATCTGAGTTGTTTTTTATGCAATTAAAGAAAAGCATGGAAACAAAAGGGTTACCTTATCAGTGAATTCATAGGAGTTTTGCCCATAAGAGTTTGTAGGTGCTAACACAACAGACATCACAATGCTTAAACAGACTGTTGACCCTTGTCAGAATATTTTCCCTGAAGTTATGTGTAACTAAATGTGTTCATTGAAGATCTTACCAAATCCTTTATACCAAGATTTCCTTCAGTATTAAAATTTTCAGAACCGCACAGATTATTAAGTTATGCAGAGTACACAGCTTTACCACACTGCTTACAATTAAGAGGTTTCTCTTCAGTGTGGTTTCTTACAAAGGCTTTACCTCATTGGTTTCATTCATGTGGTCAGTCTCAGGTATGTGATCTTTTATGATATTGAAGACTCCTGACATGTGAATAGGCTTTACCACATTGATTACATTCCTACAGTTTCTCTCCAGTGTGTGATCTTTTATGGTATTTAAGACCACTGGCATGTGAAAAGATTTTACCACATTGACTGCATTCATAAGGTTTCTGTCCAGTATGTGTTCTTTTATGATATTTAAGACTACTGGCATGTGAATAGGCTTTACCACATTGATTACATTCATATGGTTTCTCTCCAGTGTGTGTTCTTTGATGTACATGAAGATGACTGTTGTGTGAAAAAGTTTTATCACATTGATTGCAGTTGTAGGGTCTCTCTCCAGTGTGTGTTCTTTTATGTACTTGAAGTTGACCATGACTTGCAAATGCTTTAGCACAGTGATTACATGCATAGGGTCTCTCTCCAGTGTGTGTTCTTTTATGTACTTGAAGTTGACCATGACTTGCAAATGCTTTAACACAGTGATTACATGCATAGGGTTTCTCTCCAGTGTGTGTTCTTTTGTGTCTGTTAAAATGACTATGACTTACAAAAGCTTTACCACACTGATTGCATCCATAGGGTTTCTCTCCAGTGTGTGTTCTTTGGTGTACTTCAAGGTGACTAAGCCATGAAAAATTTTTACCACATTGTTTGCAGCTGTGGAGTTTCTCTCCAGTGTGTGTTCTTTTATGATATTGAAGACCACTGATATGAGAGAAAGCTTTACCACACTGATTGCATTCATAGTGTTTGTCTCTAATATGTGTTGTTTTATGACTTATGAGACTGCTGTGTTGTGAAAAAGCTTTACCACGTTGATTACATTCATGGGCTACCTCATGAGCACCTGTTATTTTATGGAGTTTGAGACAACTGTGACATGCAAAGGCTCCACCTTTTTGAAGAACTTCATATGGTTTCCCTCCAATGTGAATGTTTTCATGTCTTTGAAGATGCCTGTAACACATAAAGATTTTGACACATTGAGTATATTCACAGAGTTTTCTGTCCTGGATGTTTTCTTTCATTTCTACAAAGATAACTGGAACATATAAAAGCTTTACCACTTCCATTATACTGATGAATCATGATGTATATATACATTGAATTTAAAATTTTGCCTTATTGCAAAATGAATCAGTTCTTAAATTTTATATTCATGATGCTTCCATTCATGAGCTGTTGCTTTGTGGCTATGAAGATACCTGTGGCAGAGAGTTAGAGCCTTTATTTCTTGGCCCACATCTATGGCATCTTATTTATGTGAGATTTTCACATATTTGAGAAGAACTGGATGAACTCAGAGCTTTTTCATACTTAGTGCATTCATAAGTTTTCCTGTATTTTGAATTATATTTCATTAGCTGAATGAACCAGGATAAATGAACATATACATACTTTCCTAGGCTCAGAGGGCTTTTCTGCAGTGTGAGTTCATTGATGTCTTCCCAAGGACGTTGGAAATCCAATTAACTGTAATCTTGTATCACATTCAATACAGTTACTCAAGGTGGGGAACTACTAAATAACATTCATATTTTCTATTTGCCCAGAGAATGAGGGGGCTACATTGCTTCTTTCCATTTTCTATGCTCCCATGGCTTGTATTTAGAGTGATGAGTGATACACTTTTATTTTCATCATATTTTTTGAGACAGGATTCTCTGTGTAGCTTTGGATTCTGTCTTAGAACTCACTCTGTAGACCAGGCTGGCCTCCAACTCACAGAGATCCAGCTGCCTATGCCTCCACTGTGGTGGACTTAAAGGTATGCACAACCACTGCCCCGCTGGACAATATACTCTTTTTTTAATTTGTCGAGACAGGGTTTCTCTTTATTGTTTTGGAGGCTGTCCTGCTGTCCTGGTACTCACTTTGTAGACTAGGCTGTCCTTGAACTCACAGAGATCCACCTTCCTCTGCTTCACAAGTGCTGGGACTAAAAACATGCACCACCAATGCCCAGCTGGACAATATACTCTTACTAAACCAAGAGTAACAAATAAATTGTTTGCACATTTCCTTCCCACAATTTGGCTTTCTTGTCCTCAGAGACAGGTTATAGCAATCAAGGGTACTTCCAAACAACCTTCTTGACACTCATATTCTGACCCTTTCAATATACTTAGCAAAGTCACAAACATGAGTAATGACAGCTTCATGATAGAATGTTTATTTCTTAAAAATTCTTGGATATAAACATATCTCCTACTAAATGTGTATACTGTTTAAAATATCTAAGTGGTATGAAACTAAAAGGATTTGAATTCCTACACCATAGATCTCAATGGGGTGTAATACCAATTTACATAAGCTTGCACATGAAAATTACCTTCTATTTCTTATAGAACTGTTACAGTGTTCTTCAATATTATGGTCTTTCCACTTGTAGCCTAAAATACAACACCAGAAAATACATGAAATATGAAAGAAATTTGCATCGATTTTAAATTAATATTGTCAATGAACATTAGAAGTAAGTCTTATTCACCTAATATTCTCTTTTCTCAATCAAAATTACAGAAGAGTATTAATAACCAAGAAAATGTTGTCCCCTTATTTAAAATCATGAAGGGAACTTCAGCCTCACCTATGGCAGAGAGGTTCCTGTAGGTCTCCTGCATCACATCCATGTAGAGAATTTTCTGGAAAGGATTCAACAAAGCCCACTCTTCCTGAGTGAAGTCAATGTGCACATCATGATAAGACACTGTGTCCTAAAAGAACCCATACATGTGTAAACCAGGAAGTTTGATTCTCACAGTGTAAATGTATGCTTCTTTGAAAATATAGTTATATAATTCTGGTGTTTCACACACTTATCTCATGACATGGACATTAAAATGTATTCACCCAGCAACTTTAACAGGAAACAGACTAGGAGGCTCGCATGCAACATATCTTGTAGCCTAGAGACTTGGGAAAGAAATCCCAGTGAACAGACATAAAGGGAGAGGCAAGCCAGCAGGTCAACACTACTGAGAACACATCAGAGAAATTGTACAACAGGGCCAGCCTATGACAGCAATACCCCAGTCCCTGATTCTAACCTCTGTCTTTTATAGGTTTTTATTGCTGTGAACAGACGCCTATGAAGAAAACTTTTATTTGAGGTGTCTCACTTAAAATTTCAGAGGTTCACTTAATCATCATCATGGGAGGGGTCATGGCAGCTAGCAGGCAGATGCAGAGCTGAAGGTGTTGAGTCTTTACATCCTAGGGCAAGGAGAATTTGCATAAGCTATGCCCTATTATAAGTCAGCTTCTTAAGAGGAATCACATCTTTTTGGGGGTTTTTCAAGTCAGGGTTTTACTGTGACTTTGGAGGCTGTCCTTGAACTCGCTCTTGTAGACCAGGCTGGTCTCTAACTCACAGAAATCTACCTGCCTCTGCCTCCTGTGTGCTGGGAATACAGGCATGTGCCACCAACACCCAGCTGGCTCTCTGTTTAATTATCAATACATCAGGCCATTAGGGAAAGCACAAAAGCCCAAGGCCTGAGGCTGTCTGTAGCTCTCCCAGGAATGATCTTCCTCCCTGCCTGAGGGCCTAAATGGAATTCTTGACTAATCAAGCAAGTACTTAATACAATAATGTTTTAGGTTTCAAATAGTTGTAACCATGTGTCCTATTATGCAGCATCATTTGAATGACCCCTGAGTTTGTTTCAATGTGTGATAATTTCTTATGGCTTCCTAGAAATTTCCTCTTTTGGTCCATTTTCTCTGGGAAGTCATATACAAGAAGCTATTCCTCAGCCAGGCATTGGTGGCACACAGGAGGTAGAGGTAGGCAGAACTCTGTGAATTAAAGACCAACCTGATTTACAAGAGCGAGTTCCAGGACAGCCTCCAAAGCCACAGAGAGACCCTGAATCAACACAGCATCCTTGTCCTGTGATATGGGGATGGGCCTATGGCCTGTTTATAGATCAGGGTTTTCTCATTTGTCATGGTTTGGAGCCATATGTCTGGACAGTCATGGAGAACAAATGCATATTTTAGCATCTTAACCTCTAACAGACCTGGTTAGCATACCAATTATGTTTGTGTTATTTTAGAGTCAGCACTCCCTCAGGTAAATTCTATTTTGCAGGATTTACTATTCCCTAAAGATTGGTAAATTCTTTATATCAACAACTCTACTCTCCAACATCACAGCTTAATAGTGGAGTGTGATCCAACATGAGAACACCATTACAGATGTCTTTAGTGTCCCATGCTTTAATCCTTGCACTGGGGAGGCAGAGGCAAGTAGATCTCCATGAGTTTGGGGCTAGCCTGCTCTACAGAGCAAGTTGCAGGTCCGACTCCCAAGCTACATGGAGAAATCCTGTCTCCAAAACAAACAAATAAAACAACAACAAAAATAGGGGCTGGAGAGATGGCTCATTGGTTAAGAGCACTGACTGTTCTTCCAGAGGTCATGAGTTCAATTCCCACCATCCACATGGTGGCTCACAACCATCCACAATGAGATATTTTGTTCTCTTGTGGTGTGCAGACATATATGGGGGAAGGATATTGTATTCATGATAAATAAATAAATAATTAAAAATATATATAAAAAGAAAGAGACAGGCATTGGTGGTGCATGCCTTTAATCCCAGCACTCTGAAGGCAGATCTCTGTGACTTTGGGACTAGTGTGCTCTATAGAGCAGGTCCCAGGGCAGATTCCAAAGCTATAGAGAGAAATTCTGTCTCAAAAATCCAAAAATAAATAAGTATAAAAAAAGAAAGAAAATGAATGCCATTTACACCATATCAATATAAACTCCGAATTGATCTTATACCTAAACATCAAATGTAAACTACAGAGCATCTAGAAGACAAAAGAGAAACGAAGTTGCTTCAAGTTTGACAATTTGCCTTCTGCATGCACCAAGAGCACGTTGGTGTTAACTACAAAGATGTTTCTACACAAAGCTCCCTAACCAGAATGCTTTCCACAAATGCAGCCCATAGAGTGAAGGATTCACAGGCCAGCACCAGGGTTTGGGGAGTCATTAGGACACAATGGGACCTCACAGAACACTGAGTGTGGCTGCAGGTTCCCACCCAGCCTCCTTCTGTGGGAGGACCTGCCACACTGTCTCCCAAGCCTCTCCATCCTGTCCTCCCCTACATGGGATATCATCCCCTTGCTCACCATGCTGTGGCGTCAGAGCTCCTCTGTGCTCCCCTCATATCCCCTACAGCAGCACTCACAGCACAGCAATCAATCCCCTGGAGCTAGTCCTGCTATGAAAACAAGCCTGCAGCAAGGCTCCAGGAAATGTCCTAGAGACCTGTGACTGGTGGGTTGGCCCCGTGACCCTGATTGGCTGGTGAGGCTTGAGTGACAAGAGCACTTCCTTAAGGGTCAGAGTGTGCTTAAAGACACAGCACAGGGGTCCCTGCCCTGGCTCCTACTCTAGACCAGGGCCCTTAAGAATTCTGAATGTCCAAAAAGACCTGTTTATGCTCCACCTTCAGCTTTCAATAGACTGGATTTGGCCTGTGGTTGGTCCTGGAAGAACAATCAGGCCTTCAAGGAGCAAAAACAAAATATCACATGTTAAATTTTTGTCTAAAATAAGAATGGTTATAACTAATATAAGAAAAACTATGGAATAAGTTCAATAAATATATCCAGCATACACAGGAAATAAATTTATCAAAAATGTGTAGCCCATCAGCATTTGACAAATTCAGAAGAAATTATGGCAGTATCTATGCTATTTTGTTCAGTCCTAGAGGTTGCAGCTAATTCACTGTCTATTCTAACTTGCATTATCAAAACTATCTTTTCCTGTTTCTCAACCTTATACACTTTACATTTCTTAAGAGAATTTCTTTTCTGAAACTGATGAAAAAAAAACTACAACTGTAGCTATAAAGTCTTCAAATCCATCAGAGACGCAAGAAGGGAATAACATTACCCAAGTAAGCAGGAAGTGTAAGCGAGAAACTTCCAAAAATTGGGAGAAATGACAGAAACTGCTGGCTGCTTGCAGAGTCACCCAAAGATCCTCTGTAACATCGACTCATTCATCTTTGGCCTACCAGCCTAGCATAACTGACAGAATTTTCTATGAAGCAGTATTTGTGAAGAACTGTCCCACCTTGTATTAGGAAGGTTTGGCACTCAATCTCTTTTCTGTTCTGCTGACCCAATTTGGTCAGCACACTGTCTGCAGTTGACGCAAGAGCACTTTCTTGTCCAGTGGCTTAGTTTTGCTATAAAGAATGTAAAACCCATGTGGAGTTTCATTAATGCCCATTATGTTCTCTGAGGTATATTGGTGCTGCCAGGATCAACATGTCTCTTTTTCTTAAAAAATCAAAACAAAACAAACCTGTGTAGTCAGGTGATGGTAGTGTACAAACATAACTCTGGAAAATCCATCAAGTCAGGATGCCACTGGAACAAGTTATCGCCATTTAGAAGGTGATGTTAAATTTCATTCAATGCTGTTTATTTATTTTTATTTTATGTGCATTGGTGTTTAGTCTACATGTATGTCTGTGTGAGGGTGTCAGGTATTCTAGAACTGTATCTAAAGACAGTTGTGAGCTAACATGTGATTGCTGAGAATTGAATGTAGTCCTCTGGAAGAGCAGCCAGTGTTCTTAAATGCTGCACCATGAGGTAAGATCAGTCTGGGCTACCTCAGAGCCTGTCAGTAAAACTTAGCTAAACAAACACTAGCAATAATGTCAGAGACCACATTAAAAATATTTCCTAAGATGTGGGCAAAATCTGAGGAATGGGAGCAAATGCTCAGCAATTAATAACACTAGTTAATCATCTAGGAGACATAGGTTTTATTTCCAGAATCCACATAGAAGCACATGACCAACTTTAACCCCAGTTACAAAGAATCTGACATCTATAGATACTAGAAATCCCATTGGTACAGATATAACACATGCAGGCAAAGTTCAAACACATAAAAACATAAATAACAGCTAATGTCTTCTAATAGGAAATTTGCTAAGAAAAGAGTGGAGCAGGAGGGGCTACATAATGGCTTGGGCTATAATAGAAACATAAAGAAGCAATAATAGTATAAAACAAGCTCCAGGGTTGCATACATAGTTTCACTATGCTGAATTAGAGACAAGGGCATGCTTGGATCCTGGCTATACTTAGTTTCTTGCTCTCCTCATTTTTAACTTGGGCTCCTACATTCACTGCAAACACCAAGTGATCCTAAGTCAGCTGACTAAGCAGGTGTAGGGACATGACAAAAGAAATCACTGAGTGTCCCCACAAGGATCACAACCTGTTCTCAGTGGCCTAAAAGAACATATAGTGACTGCAGGAAAACTTTCTTTCTTTTTGGGGGTAGGGGTGAGGAGGAGGGGAGTGAGATGTGTTTCAAGCCAACTCTGTGGTTTTGGATGCTGTCCTGGAACTAGCTCTTGTAGACCATGTTGGTCTCAAACTAACAGAGATCCACCTGCCTCTGCCTGCTGAGTGATGGCATTAAAGGCTTGTGCCACCAACACCTGGCTTAAAACTGTTATTTCTCAATTTTATGTTTGACTGTACCTTTCTGGTACATTGTTACTGTTACCAAAAAGAAATAATAGCTTCACTTCAACACACATAATCTCTCTATACTTCCATAGCACTGAAAATGTAT